AAGACATGGCTCTCCACTACAGTTCATGTGTGAACTTGTAAGTAAGGTAGTGGATAGAAAAGGGCCAATAATGGAATGACTTTGGGGTCTTGGGAATAGTATAAGATTTTCCTCAAAGAGTTGAAAATGTAATCCAGATGAGCATTTGACTTAGCAAACTGGCTAATGTAGTTGTGGTAAACAACTATAGTTGGGATCACGGGAAAGATAGAGACTCCAAAATAATGAAAGAGTCATAAGATTATCCTCATATAGTTGAGGCTGGTGCTCATAAATTTGAGACTAGAATTAATGACCATGAGAGGTCAAATACGGATTAGGACACGAGTCCTTGAAATGGTAGCTGGGGCTACCTTAAATGTTGGAACAAACCCAAGGAATTAGGGGTGTACTTAGAGGATGAGTCGGTATTCTCATCATAAGGATAGATAGTTCTAAGGGGCAAAAGTAGCCCATAGGGAATGGAAAATAATCAAGTGTTAAAATAACACTTGCAAAGATGGTCTTTATAAACAGGACATGAATACACGAAGTTGTATTCTAGCGAATTGACACCTCAAAATAGGACTTTACGGGTCATTGAATTAGCGAAGTCCAAAAATGTTGGATGACTCAAGTAGAGTCAAGGAATGGTCATAAAGGATTGGTAAAAGCATTTGAATTGAGGTGTGTTGTACCTCACGAAGGATGGGGAAGATCATAAGATCCAAGTATGAGGACAGTGGGTATCTCATCGATGGCAGAATGTGCCATACTAAAGTCGGGGGAAAGGTGTTCCTAGAAAAAAGAAACTTTAGCACAAAGTTGTGTATGAACACTATGGTGCCGTGTTAATTGATAGTTGGTATGATAAACAACTGCTTTGGTCTTGGCAAAGACCTAGACATGAGTGGGAAGTGTTGTAAGGGTAGGCTTGTAAAGCTAATGGTGTGAAAACACTAAATGTGTCAAAGCATAAGGCCTTGAGGTCAAATTAGCGGGTTCATTAGAACCCCTTCCCAAAAGAATTCTGATGGAAATGGGAATTGCGTAGCCTAAGCTGGAAGGTCTGTGGTTGGAGTGTGGTAACCCAAATAATAATGAAGGTTTTGCTTAGTTGCTTCATAGTTGTCAAGTCCTACAACTCATTACTGGTGACCCCAAGTATCCTAAGACTCTTAACCGATTGTTGATTTTTGAGTTTGGGCCAGTATAGATAGACTGGCTTCGAAATAATTGGTTAAACTGGTAGAAGGTAACTACTTAAGACTTTTTATTAGGATAAAAAAGTTAGTTATACCTTTAAGGGGGATAAATTGCTTATGTTGCGATATAGTAAGTCAATGTCGAAAAGGGATTGAAGAACCACTCCTTAGGTTATCGAGTAAGTTCATCCCTATAAATACTTGCTAAAGCATGGTAGAAATTGCAAAGTTATCCTCCTAGTCTAGAGAAAAATAATTGAAAGAAATATATGAGGCAAAAAACAAGTAGTAAGGGGATAGAATCGAATCATGGAAATCGAAAGGCATAACCAAGGGTGGTTATACAAGTTGGGAATGGAAAATCAAGTGGGTGTTCGAGCATGTTGTTATTAACAACCGTGATGCCATGGAAAGTCTAAAGTATAAAATTGTCTATATTAGACCATATGGCAATTAGAAAGCTTGCGAAAGGAGAGGCTTTAGCAAGGTAAGGGATTAAGTCCCTTCAAAGTTCCCAAAGACAATTCTATATAGCTTAATACTTAAAAAGCCATGTGTAAATGGTTTATAGAACGCACAAAATCAAAGTGGCGCAACAGAAGCGTGGTCTTGAAGCTTATCATAAGGCAAGGCTATCAAGGTTGGGGAAGTAGTTCCCAAGTGTTCAAAGGGATGGCTTTGAACAAAAGTTGATGGTCAAGAACTTTCACACTTATGCATGAAACCATGTTACATTAATCGGATGACTTGCTAAACAAGATTGGCAAGTCAGGGAAACAAATCCCCTAGTTGAAGATGCTAACTTCAAAAGGGGTGGCTCATGAGGCCGAGCGTGAAGGAGTCCATACATGATTACAAACTTGTCAAGTAAGAGAACTTGGCAGTGCGGAGGAACTAAATTCCTAAATTGTGATCTATAGCGCACTTTAAGTATAAGTTGGTGCACCGGCGTAAGGAGTCATACTAAGCATCTTGAATAATACCATTTGTAGATGCATATACGGAAGTTGGGTTTAAGTCCTGACCCTCTAGTGCTTGGGTTCGAGTCTCAATTCACTAGGGCGTGGTGATGGTTTGGAATATAAGGACACTCATTTTTCGGTGGTCATGGACTCTTAATAAGGAGACTAGTTTGGGCACACCGCCAAGCAGGGGATGCCCTGGAGTCATGATGCATAGTTAGATTGTTTAATGTGAAAGTTCGGCATATCTAACTTGAACACTTTGGTGCAAGTGGCACTTAGAACATGGTGAATGAGATGGGGACACCCAGTCTCAGTTACTATGGACCCTTGGTCGGAAGGGCTGGCTCAAGCGCACCACTAAGTGTGGGGGATGCCCTTGGGGTTATGGTTAACAATTTAAAGGTCTGAAAGACCTAGTACCTATTAGCAAACTTATTAAGGTGTCAAGATAAGATCACTAGGCAATCTTGTGGCTAAATAAAGACAAGGTCCTTGTTTGGGTAAGGAATAAAGTTCCTAGTTTAAAATATTGATTTGAACTAATGATAATGGTGTGGCTTAGTCAACGTGACTAAGTGGGAAGAACACTTAAGGGAAATGAGTTATGTCAATGCGATAGCATAGTGAGTCTAAAGAAAGTAGTCTTTAGGAGAGACCCATGAAAGAGGCATAAAGTTGGGCTGTAGATGAAGCCCATAGCAAAAAATGCTAAAAAAACCTACTAGGGGTGAGCACCCTTTGGACTTGGTAAAGTGGAGCTTTTGCCATGGAACCGAAAGAATACCTCAAGGATGAAAGTAGTGATCCTATGTTGCTTGGTGCAACAATTAATGGATAGGAGCAAAAAACTAATGGCTAAGAAAAGAGCCATAGGAACCATGGAAAGAAATCCAAATGGCAAAGTTAGGCCAGGAACACCAATGTGTTAGAGGCTAATAGATTGTGGGAAAAGCAATGTGTTTCCAAAGATGGATTCTCAATTGCTCTAATTTGGTGAAAATGAAAGCTCCAAAGGAGGGAGCAGTAAGGTAGCCAAATGATAGAGTTATAGACAACCTAGCACGAATTATAGTAACTGGAACTTAGTGCGGTGGCATGAAATAGAAAAGAGGATGGTGGTGCCCTCAAGTAAAGAATTTCCTAGGATGGGGAACTGGAGTTGCACAAAATGTGCAATGCAAGGTGTTAGAGACACCTAGGAAATTGACTCCGAGAAGTCAAAAGTAAAAGTTCTAAAGTGCAAAGATTATATTAATGGGAATTGAGACTAATTGAGAATGAGTAGTGGGATTGAGATAAAAAAGGTGTCTCTAACAAGTTTAGCAAGAACTAAACTAATAAAAGGAGAGAACCACCACAAACGGTCGAATGAGTCTTTAAGTTAGAGAAGCTATGCTCCTTAGAGGATGGGCAAAGCATGGTGAGCCTTCAGTGTCAAACTATTGATGAATATTAGCTATATGCCAAGGATGGAAAGGGTAATACATGCTAATATTACTTTATAAAGTAGTTTGTCATTCATTGAGGACATCCAACTTCGTCTATGTGTGGTGGAGTTGTGAGACACAAATCCCTAAGCCCCAAAGTGGAGTCGAAAGGGTGCCACGTGGTAGTGGCCGAAGCGAAAGCCAAATGAATGTAACACGTCTCTAGAAAAGGGACACAAGAGGTCCAACACATGACACGTGGAAGTGTCCGAGATGGAGTCTGAGATGAACCTAAGATGGACTCGAGATGGAGTCCGAGATGGAGTCCGAGATGGAGTTCGAGATGGACTCGAGATGAAGTCTGAGATAGATTTGAGATGGAATCCAAAATGGAGGTCGGAGGTGTGGTTAAATGATTAAAGTAGAATGGAAAAATTAGTCGCTTACAATATGGTCATATGTGAAGTCCCAAATGTTAGTGGGACTTAGTGGATAGGTTTTTATGTTTTGACCCAATAAATGGTCAATGGAAAAAGTGAGCACTACTGTAAATGGAAAAAGATTTAATGAGAATAAAAAAAGAAGGGATATTGAAGGATAGTATTTCTTATGTTTTGGGGCATTGTAAGGATGTTAAAATGTGGTTATAGGACAACCACTTAGAAATGGATAACACTAATGAGATATTTAAAATAAATATAGCCTTAGCATTTGCATCAATGTTACCATTGAGTGTCCAAAGTATGACTAGATATATAAAGCACTTAGATCAAGTATGAAATTAATGTGGATATAAGAACACATTTGAGGGCTAATAAATACCCTAATTTGGGATGAGGATTTATAAAGGTTGTGAATGACTCTTTTAAGTGGTCAAAAGTGTAATTAAATAACTAAAGTAAAATAAGTCTATTTGCATTCATAGATCACATCATAAGGAGAGAACAATATTTATGAGTTTCTTGTGTGCTATTAGTATTTTACCTTTGATTTGGTACATAATTTCAATCATTCTTGCAAGGAATTACTCCAAGAACTAAAAGAACTTTTAAATGTATTTAGAGTGCAACAAAAGCCTCTTTAGAAACTCAAGTGCTCCCCTAGCTTCTGGTCTAGAGGAATGAATTATTTACGAGAATAAAACAGATTGAGAGCAAATTTAATAGTGAATTGTACTGCTATGGAAAAATTCATAATTTTTATAGATAATCTTAAAATAATTATAAAATATAAAATATTTATTAACTAAATATCAATCCGTTAAATAGTAGAATATGCTAAAACATCCACGCATATTCTAAGTATATCCTAGGTAGAGTATGATGTGAATGAAGATGCCCGTGTGCGGCAAGCATGAGAAAAAATTGCGGTTGTTCCCAGGGGCATGGCTCCCAAAAACTCTCAATCACTCACCTCTACATAAACGTGGCTTTGCTATAATATACTCCTAAATGCGATGCTTCTTGAGAACTAGAACCCTAGCGTTGGACGCGCGAGAGCAAGGTAAGGCCCGCGATGCCGAGCTCCTCTCCAAGCTCCGCGCGATCCTCGTCGGCTCTAGCGCTGCCGCTAGCGCCAGGCCGCCACCGAGCTCCAGCGCCAGCAATCCCGACAATGCGGGGCTCCTGGCGCGGCTCCGGCGGATTCTCAGCGGGGACAGGGAGGGCGAGAGCACGGAGACGACGAGCATCGGGCTTGTAGCGCATTCGCTGGCCAGGCAGGGCAAGATCGATGAGGCGATCAAGATGTGCTCGGAGATGGCCAGGAGGGGATGCGTTCCAGAGATTACGGTGCTCAGTGCCTTCCCGGCGGTGAGATTGGGAGCTGGAGCTTGCCTGGTGGATCTTCCGCGGGGCTGGAGCTCGCGGCAAGAGCTCTCTCCGCATTCCTCGGTGATCAAGGTACTTTGCAAGGCTGGGAAGTTCCAAGAGGCTCACAAGAGCGCTGTGGCGATGCTGAGACAGGGATTGGTGGTGGAGACTTTGGTGCTCAACACTCTGGTCTATGGACTCTACAAGGCCGGGTTGAGCGACCAGTGCTTCCTGATCCTCCTGGAGATGGCTTCCAGGGGCAGCTCCCTGGATGTTCTTGCCGGAGAAGAGGATGGTGGAAGCGTCGTCCATAGAATCTGTGGAGCTTTGGATGATTTGATCGAGCACAGCGTTTGCCCGGACGTTGTGTTCTACACCACTTTGGTGGATGGGCTTTGCGCGATTGGGAAGATCGAGGAGGCTTATTTCCTCTACAGAAACTCGGCAGCCAAGAACGAGTTTAGCGTCTCCACGTGCAATGCGCTCGTTCAAGGTCTCATCGAGCGTGGCCGGGGTGCCGAAGTTTTTCCGCTCGTCCTGAGCATGGTCAAGAACGGGTTTGCAGTGAAGAACAACGTTCTCGACTCGCTCATCGCGAAGTTTTGCGAGGCAGGGAAGGACGAGATGGTTCTTCCGGGGTTCTACTCAGCCGACGAGAGTTTGCTGGATCACAAGTCGATGCTTGCGGGGCTCTGTGGCCTGGGGAAAGTCGAGGAAGCGTCTCGGTTCCTGGGTGATATGGTCAGAAGGAGTGCTGTTGCGGACACCGACACTCTCAACTTCTTGGTGCTGGAGCTGTGCAAGGCAGTGCTCGAGAGGCCAGAGAACTACAATCTATTCGATACGATCGTGAGAACTACAACAAGTTCCAGCCTTTGCTCTTCTACCACGTACGAGATACTAGTGGATTTCCTCTACAAGGCGGACAGGATGGAAGACGTTCACAGACTGGTGAAGAAAATGCTCGACAAGAAGTTCGTGCCGGACAGCAACACGTACAACTCTCTCGTCGTCAAGCTCTGCGAGGAACACAGGGTCGACGACGCTTTGGTTCTACTCAAAAGGGCGACCTGCACCGTGAGCACCGCAGCTAGCAACTGTGTTCTTCAGGCGCTATGCAAAAATGGTGGCGGTGTTGATGTGGCTCTAAAGTTTGTGGAGTGGATGCGAACCAAAGACCAAGCTCCCGATTCCGCGTCCTGCAATGCTCTGATGGAAAGGCTGATCAAGGAGAAGAAGATGGAGCAGGCCTTCTCGTTGTACCACGGGACGATGGTTAAGCAGCGGTTCAAGCTGGACAAAGCCTCGTACGATGCGATTCTAGGTGGCCTCTGGGAGTCAGGGAAAGAAAACGAAGCTGTCAAGCTTTTCCAGCAGATGGTCCGGAACGGCATTGCACCAGACGCTGCAACAAGCAACATTCTCATCGCTGGCCTCTGCAAATCCCGGAAAGTTGACGCCGCTCTCAAGATTGCGAGCATCCTGCCGACGATGGGATGCGTCCCCGATCTTGGTGCTTACAAGACACTCCTGGCCGCCCTTTGCGAGCGAGGCGATCCAGAGCTGGTCAAGAACCTGGTGAAGGATATGAGTGACAATGGACGGCTTCTCGATCTCGACAGCTACAACACGGCTTTTCTCTGCTTCTCAAGATCCGGCCGGGACGCAGAGATACACAAACTATTTCTCCGGATGATGGAGAAGGGGTGTGAGCCAGCCGACGAAACTTACGAGCTAGTATTCGGCAGTCTTTGCACTGCAAACAACCTGGACGGTGCCTGGGAAGCATTACAGGCAGTCATCAAGGCGGGGTTCTTGCCTCTGAGGAAATGCGCATACAGGCCATATCTCCTTGGCTTGCTAAAAGCTGGGAGAGTGGAACAGGCAGTAGAGTTTTTCAAGGACAGCATTGGTGGCGACCCCGCAATTCTCCTCGACTGCTTTTTGGAAGCTGGATTGGTGGCCGGGGCTTGTGACTACTATGACGAGACGCTAGCGGACAGGGAAGGCTCAAGCCTGGCTCTTCTGGAGATTATACGCGAGCAAAGTGGTGACAGGATGGGCGTTGCATGCCAGTTCGTGAACGAGCTCAGTTTGAGGAGAAGAAGTATTAGCGTCGGGAGCGTAGTTTTGGAGCTGATCAAGTGGAAGAGGCTGGATTTAGCTGCTGGAATGGTGGAGGAAGGAGTGAAGCTGGGGTGTGCTAGCAGCTCTACAGTGAAGATAATGGCGGACAGGTTGCTGGAGGAGAATAAGGTGGACGAGCTATGCAAGCTCTTCGGCGTGGTTTTGGAGCAAGACGAGGATGGGCGGGAGATTGGGCTGGCGAGGAAATACATTCGCAGGCTGCTCACGAGAGGCGAGATTGACGTCGCGAACAGGATTTTCGAGATGGCCGTGAGTGGCGATGGCGGCAAGACGAGGAAGTCCGAGAAGAGGAAGAAGAAAACGTGCGACCTCTACGATTTGGTCATCACAGATTTTTGCAAGCTCGGGAGATTCGAGGAGGGAGCTCGAGTTTTGGAGCACTTGTACGAGAATGGAGTTCTGCCAAGAGCCAATAAGGTATGTTCAACAAATCGTTGAGAATTTACAAGTTTGACGTATAGTTTTCTTTTCTATCTCTTTTCTTTTCACTCGATCAGATGTTCCGCGACTAGTACGCATGCATCGCGCTCCAGGAATTTTTCTGGCCCCGCGGCCTCGCTCATGTCGTCTGGAGATATGAGTGGAGAGCACTCCACGTCGGGAGCGATTCCAACTTGGTCGATTTGGTGGAGAGATGGTGACAAGTACTTTGCGACGGTCACGAACAAAGCCGAGCCATCCCAGAGTTGAGAAACGCTCTGGATACACAAAAAATAAATTCCAGGAGCGCTCTCAGTGTCACTTCATAACAAAGAAATAGAAGAAGAAAGAGATGGACTTACTTGTATCTTGCCTTTGCCAAACGTTTTGTGTCCCACAAGTATGGCTCTTCCATTGTCGTGAAGAGCCCCGGCTAATATCTCGCTAGCACTAGCGCTGCCTTCGTTTACCTGTGAGGCGAATCGACACAAGTAAGCAAACCAAAGACCAAAGATAAAAAAAAAAACAGTAGTCGACTTACAAGTACCACAAGAGGATCGTGTGTAAGAGCGTGGCCTCTAGCCACATTGATGGGAAGAGTGACCCCACGTCGATCGACAGTGTTCACTAGAGTTTCGTTGCCATCCAGCCACATCTCCGCAACATCTAGTCCAGCTCTCACCAATCCTCCCTGTAAAGAACGCTGGGACAAGTCAGAAAGGAAAAGCTCCATTTCAATGGAGGAGAAAACTCTACCGGATTGTTGCGGAGATCAAGTATGTAGGAATCCACGTTGCTTTCTTCCAGTTTGAAGATGGCCTTCTGCATATCTGCGGCTGCGTTCTGGAGACAATTCAGCCAGGTTAGTAGACTTGAATTCTGGAAAGGAAGGAACCTGTGAGAATTGTGCCAGGCGTATGTATCCAGTGCTTGTTTTCCGGCCAGACGAGTTTGTGTGTGGCAGCACTGCAGTATAAACTGGAGACATGGATATGGTTTCGCGTTTCAGCTTGAGCTGCACGACAAAATCAGCAAGAGTTCGTTCACATTAGTGGCTTACCTCTTTCAGCTCTGGCGCGGAAGACGTGTCTGGAGAAAGCTGCAACAAATGAAACCAGTAAAGCCGGAAAGAGGATAAACACGTCCTACCGTTCGTCGGAGTTTCACACCGACGATAGTTCCAGCCTTTCCACGGAGTTTTATAGCGGCGTCTTCACCATTCATTCCAACAAGAGCCACATCTGTAAAAGCATCAAAGTTGAGTATTATTTCCGCGGAGGCGAAGGAAAAGAGGAATGACCATCTATCTGAACGAGCTCGTCTCCAGGACGTACGCCTGCTCGTTCTGCTGGGCCACCTTCAATTGTGGCAAGCACAACCTGAAGTTTGGAACGATAAGCTTGAATAAGAAATAGTGTACAGGATTACCAGCTTGCCAGACTCTTGCTCAGTCGCAATCAACAAACCAACACCATCAACAGCACCATCGTTGCTTATACGGAAGTTTTCATACTCCTGGAGACGACACAAATCAAACTGGACATCTCCTCAGCGATGGTTACCTTTGGCGTGACTATACGAGTGTAAGGGTCGCCAAGAGTTGCAAGCATGTCACGGACTTGCTCGTATGCAGTTTCAGACGAATCCAAAGTCGAGAGTTTCAGAATCGTGTCCTTTAGTTGCGATGTCCAATCTGCGAGGAAAGGCCACTTCAATAAAAGTTTTTTGTATGAAGATGTTTACCTTGCTTATTGAACGTCGGGTCGACATATGTATCTCGAATGATGCTCCACGCTTGGAGAAGTGTTCGCTGAACTGTAAGCACCTGCGAAACGGAGTGTGATTCTCACAGAACTGGAGAATTCCCGGCCTTTACCTCGTTAAAACTTGATCCGGGAAAGGTCAAAACTTCGTCAGCAAGTACCGGACAAGGGGACTGCGTCAAAACCAGTGAAGCCGCTGCAACAGCCAAGCTTTTCTTGAAGAACGAGAGAACACCCTTCATGTCCAGCTTCACGGACTCATTTTTCTGCCTGCTCGATTGTTCCATTGGACTGCGCATTCGGCAGGTATACAGAGTTTTTGCTTGTACCCGAAGCGTCTTGACATTTGCCACTTGTTTCCTGATGCAGAGTTCGTTTGCAGAGGCAAATGCGGAGCGTCTACAAAGAGCATCCATCTGAAAAGGAGAAACGTGAGAATTGGATGCAAAAGGAAGAGAGGAAAGATTCACTCACTTGAGAGCCTGTGATTGGAACTCCAACTGTCGAGAAGGAAGAATTATACGTTGGAGCTCCAGATCACGCAAAAGGGCCACAGCCCAACTCCGAGGCGAGCCCTCCAAGGGGCTCCTCTATCCTTGGAGCAAGCAATCCCTATTGCGTGTTCTCGCACGTCTAGTCACTGCAAGAACAAAGTTGAAACGATACACGTGGCACGATTGTAATGGCCAACACCAAATATTCCACAACCAATTGAGTGGCTGGGAATGATAGAAGTGCATATAAACAAGGAAGCAATACATACACTGTGTACACGGAACGGAGTAGAATCTGAATCTCACCCCCGTTTCTATTTGTCTTCTTTCTTCGCTTGCTTCTCCTTGATTTTCTGGAAATTCGCTGCCAGCTTAGTGCATAAACACGGCAATTTTCTGTGCTTACCTTTTTCAAAACTTTGATATACTTGCTAATCTGAAAGATGGACAAGTTAGCTGTGTCGAAGAAAAAAGGAAAGAATCGCTAGAAACCTGTACAAGGCCGGGATGCATCGCATAAGCTTTCTCGAGCCAGCAGAGAGCTGATTCTGGATCTTGAATCGCCACATAACATAGGCCTAGTCCTAGTAGTACAAAAACGAAGGTAGAAAATCATAAAATAAGTGAGATGTGTGCATATAAACTCACCACTGAGTGCCGCGAAATGGTAAGGATTCAGCTTCAAAGTTCTCTGGCAATCCTCTATAGATTTGTGATAATCCTGCACAACGCAAGTCAGTAAGAACGTTGCTAGAAATATTTTTTTGGAGACTGACTTGGAGCAAGTAATGTACTGTGGCTCTCTTGTTATAGCCTTCTGCAAACGATGGTGCCATGTTGATCACCTAAAAACCACAGCATAACTAAGAAACGACCATCGATAAGCTAGCTTTATGATCTCCATTACCTCGGTGAAAATCTCCCGAGCCGCGGCCAAGCCATCCTTGCCGACCATTTTGGAGACGCCTTCCTGGGCATTGAGTAAGAAAAATGCGTTTCTTTCCTTCGAAAGGTACCTGAATGCGCTTATCAACGTCGTCTCTACCTGATCTCATAAATATTCTCCACATTGCCTACATTGCAAACAAGAAAGAATGATAGAAACTTGGAATCCAATACATGCAGAAAAAACCACCGCCAAACCTTCTCAGTTTCCAAAACGATGTTGTGATTCTCGTCTCTCAGACAAGCACTTAGCGTAGGAAATATCCTCTTGTCTCCAAAATCCCCAAGAGCCTGCAAGGAAAATCAGGAAAAAAACTAAAAACTCTATACACACCTCGATCGCTTGTATCCTTTCACTGACATCTCCATCATCTAACAGCTTCGTGTTCTTCAAAAGAACCTGGTAGAAAACCAAAAGCATTCAAAAGAACTTAGAACTCACTCTCAAAAATTCTGGCAACCAAAGAAAAAATCCAGACCATGCAAACTCGAGATAGTTCTTCCATACCCGCTCGGTCGCAGTGAGCTCGGCTTTGAGTCCTCCAAGAATATCCCGCAGCTTGACAGCTTCTCCATAATTCTCATCGCTCACGGCAACTCGGAGCAATCTAGAAGAATGCCGTCACTAAGAGAAAATCCCCATAGCAATCGCAAGAGAAAGTTCTCACACCTTTCCAAGAGTTGGACCCTCTCCCAGGTAGTGTAATCCTCGTCCTCTTGAGCTGGAGCGCTGCTTTGCTGCGGCATTCCTTTGCGGAGAGTGGAAATCTGGATCGAGGACGAAGGAGGCGACGAGACAAGCGATAATCTCCTCCAATTCCCAGCAGACAGCCACGAATTCCTGCTCGGATAGCTGCTCGACGACGCCCTAACCGAGACGAATCCCAGGACGATCTTCCCTGTGCCGTGGGGGAATGCGATTGCGGCATGATCGTGGAAGAGCCGCTGCCGCGGCTGCGCGATCGAATCGGCCATAGCGAATGAAATGAATGAAACATAAACCCTAATTCTTGATAGGGCTTTTGGCGAGAATTTGATGGCAGCTAGCCGCTGCGTCGCGCGATCCTTGCTCGCGCGGCTTCGCTCCTCCCGAGCGATCCGCAGCACCACCGGCATTCTTCTCCATGATCCAAGGCCGCAGCAGACGAGGCGGACATTGCTGGAATGCGGCGTTCCTGATCGATCGTGGCATCTCTTCGCGAGGCATCAGCATTCCTCGGCGGCGATCGAAGGAGGTGAGAATGCAGCACTAGAATCGGCAGTAGAAACGAAGGAAGAGGATCCATTCACGAGGGATTTTGGCTTCTCCAAGGTTTTCGCCAAGAAGAACTTACCCGAGCTCCTCAAGCCAGAAGGCCAGGCCAAGATGGCTCCCTTGTTCGCGAGGCTTCGATCGTTCGGAGTCGATGACACGAGATTGAAAGCGCTGGCCAAGGATCACACAACTCTTCTTCGTAAGTACCGCGGCGATCCATCGTCTCTAGAGGAGAACGTCCGGTTTCTCTCTCGCCACGGGCTCAACGACACGCAAATGGCCGACGCTGTGAAGAAGCATCCAGCGCTCCTCCTCCTCGACGTGGCCAGCGATCTAGAACCCAGAGGGAAGTTTCTCATGGAGCAAGGACTCTCTCCATCGGCTATAGCGGCCATTCTCTCGAGCTGTCCAGCGATCATGACGACCAACACCAAAGATCTCATCGCTCGCATTGCCTACCTCTCGCGAGCTGGGATCAGCCGGAAGTTCTTGAGCTCCTGCGTGGTGAAACATCCAGCGCTGCTAAGTCACGACGTGGATCAAAAGCTTCGTCCGGTGCTCAAAGTTCTCAGCGATAGGCTGGCGCCGCAGGTGGTGAGGAACTTGGTGGCCATCGTTCCAGCGGTGTTTGCTCGCAAGCCAGAGATGGTGGACGATCTTATCAGCGCTTTCAAGTATATAGGCTTCCAGGGAGAGGTGGATACGTGGTTGCAATCCATGTCGTGGGGAGTTCGCTTTGGCCCCGAGGCCGTGAGAGACAAGATCGACTTTCTGATGAGCATGGACATCCACTACCGGCACGTCGCGGTGATGCTCAAGGCCGAGCCACACATCCTCCAGGTTGACAACGCTGTGCTCAAGGAGAAGCTCGACTTTCTCTTCAAGGGGATGAAGCTGGACGTGGAGGAGCTGCTCAAGTGCCCGGCCTACCTGAGCAAGAAGAGCATGGACAGAGTGAAGATCCGGTGGAAGGTGCTGTCCTTGCTCAAGTCCAGAGGGATCATCCAAAGGATCCATCTCAAGGACATGGTTACTTTACCCAGGAAATGGTTCGTGGAGACCTTCGTGTTCAAGTATCCCGATTGCGGAAGGGTCTACTATGGCGAACGATCGGCGTTGAAGCAAGCTCGTGCGGAAGCTAGAGGGGAGAGATCAACGTCATACTACTAGTCACAGGTATTTCCATCTATTGTTTGGAGCTAGCTCAGTTTTTTAGTTTTACAGGTGCTCTTTACAAGCACTAGCAACGCAAGACAGGCTCACATCTGACTTGTAAGTGAATTGTGAGCTCTATAATTCAAGTTTTCAACTTTGCTCACAGGTCTCCTTGCGAGTTGAGAGCTCTTCGTATCTCGTAAGATGATGCTGTGTTCTTGTCCTGTTTGGAATCAGAATCGAAGTTAGCTGTGTGCTTCTTTTCATTGTCATGGCAAACTTATACTTATTGGGATCTCTGTTTACCACATCTTCTTCAGTGGATTGAACTCGTTTTCAGGCCATGGATCGTCCGAAAACCTTGGATCCACAGCTGGCTTCTAAGAGGCGTACATCAAAACAAGAAAGCAAATTCACCAGGTAGCGTCACACATCAAGAGTTTCCTCTTCCTCTCAACACCGCTGTTTGCTGTTTGTGCACTTGCTCTAGCTCCAGGGAGTACGATATCTATGTGCTTAGCAGCAGCTTCGGTTTCTCCACACAAGTCTTACCAAGTCTTGTGATAAACCAATGCAATATGGATTGAGTTACAAGCTGTTACCAGCTGTTTTGAACATAAGTGACAAAAACAACTTGTTTGTATGTACATTGTGCTTTCCACTGCTGAATTCTATAAATTAGAAGGAAAAGAAATAATGAAAGTAGCATTCTCTGAAGTGTTTTGTGATGAACTCAAGTGTCACAATGCTATGCATTTCTCTTGTGGTCTTGTCTGCTGGATTAGTATCTTATGCTCGGACAGAAGGTACATATAAATAGATTTTATTGTTATGAATGGCTAATTTGCTTTGCTCAGATTTATCAGATCTTAGAGACGCCTCTAAACTCTTTTGTGATCGTTGCCAACAAACAAACAACGAAGTGTATTGTGCATTCTGTAATGCAATCAAAAGTGATTCAACTCCAAGCAAAACTTTGGATGAAGATGAGTCTGTGCCTTATGTGACAAGTGGTGTTGCCATGGATACCTATGTGACCTCACCACTTGAAAAAGATTCACAGTAAGGAGTTCCTTTTGCAAGACTAATAACATATATTCTGTACAAACTATGCAGGTCAATTTCTGCTGAGAAAGAAAGCAAAAGCTACTTCTGTAAGAGTTTTTGTGGCAGTGGCACCATCTTCTCAAGTAAACTGTGTAAGGCTTGCCCTGCTTCAGCTCCATCACCAGCACCATCTTCCAAACATCACTAAGAAATCTGTACTGTTGGACTAAATATTTTAATAACAAAAAGAATTTACTCCTTTCTGGTTCATTATCCTGCAGCAAATCTCAATAGTATCTAAGGCACGAAGTGATGGAGGAGCACTTGCACCACCATGCTTGCTCCTGGAAATGTCATCTTCGCTTAATCCTCATGTATTGATTATAGAAAACATTGGCAATATTTATCAATTCATTACAAAGATTCAAACAGCATTCTTGAACTCCTTAAATGCATCTATGCCCAGAGTTTGTATTTACTAAGAAGGGCATTTAGGCAAAGTTGAGTTGAACTCACAAGTTGACTTTAAATTAGCATAAGTCAACTTTAAGTCAATGCAATCAATCAAAGGTTTTGATCAAGGAAATCTAAGTTGGAAAAATGAAAGTTCTAACAAACTTTAAAATATTGAAATATGTAACTACCTGAGTCAAAAGTTATATTAGATTAAATCATTTAAAAAAGATTAAGTTCATGAGAACTTATCTTTTCTACTATGAACCACTTTTACAATTATCACATTTTAATTTTCTTGCAATTCATTGAAAAAGACCAAAATATGAATCATGAAACATTTTAATGGCTAGAAATATTAGTGTATGCTACTAAAAGCAATATATATTTACATATTATTCTTTTAGTCAAAACATTTTTATTTTTTTGGGTTCTTGAGAAGATGGGAAATAAGGAAAATAAAATATTTATGAGTACGTGTTGTAGTACAAAGGAATATAAAAATGTTATTTTTTTTCATTACCACATCCTCCATATTACACTCTTCATTTTTATTACCAAATCCAAAATATAAAAACTACTGTCACCATTGATAAAAATACTCTTATTATTTCAAAAGCAACACCCTAGGGTAATAGAAATGAAAAAATGAGTAGTACAACAAAAAACATTAACAAATCTACTCTATAGAACTTTTCTATGGTATTTATAATTTATATGTTAATTATATAAAAACATTTACTTACATATATTTGTTCAAAAAGGTCCACAATTACAAATAACTCTTTGTTAAAGATAAATTATTAAATTTGGATAATCAATTCTAAAACTTTTAACTGATAGGTAAACTTTTATTTATATGCCCTTTCCCTCTATATTCAAATCTTAATGGATTATTTTTGAGTAATTATTTTTATTTTATTTTAATTTACCACACTTTCTTGCAAATTTATGCCATTATGAATGGAAGTTAAGGATCATAACTCCCTTGAAAGTTTTTCTTTTTTGACACTTTAGCCCAATTAAACCAACTAAACATCTAAATATCAATATCAACATGTGGTGTGATTCTCTAAGTTAACCAATAAAGTTGCATTTGAAATCCCTTTGATATTAAATATAACCTCTTAAATTTAAACTTCACATAAGGTAACCCAACTCAGTATTATTTAAAATAAAAAATATTTAATCCAAAATATTTAAATACTTTTAACCTAATACTATTCAAATTTAATAAAATTTAACCCTAAGTACTTCAAAACCATTAACTAATATAAAAAGGGGTGCAATTTTTTTCATATGCCTTTCCCCTCTATATATTTGAGTTATTCTCTTTCGTTGTTTATATTAAAGAAGTTATAATTAATCTTTATAGTTTTGTATTTCCAAGCATGCAAAACAAGTGAGTAAAAGTCAGTATTTCATCCCTCATAAGATAAAATAATATCTAAAGTAAAATCTAAAACATCTTCCTTTATGAAATATGCTTTTATGTTGTTTGGATGGATAAAAAAAATTTAAGAGTTTAAAAGAAATCCAGGTAGTAAAAGATAACACAAAAAATGTATCTTTTATGGTGATAGTGATTTTAGAAAAACTTAAATAAAAAATCAATAAAAGTTAGTAAAGCAAAGGAAACATTTCATAAACAAAAGTTGGGTATTACCAATTAAAAATAGTGAGAATTTTAGTATAATCCATGATTATGCCATATAAAAAAATAATATAGCCTCAAAATTACACCAAATCTTGACTAAAAAAAATTTCTTTAACTTTATAACAAAACTGTACTATGAAATTGGCATTGGAAAACAAGGAGAACAAAAAAATCAAGAAAATCATAAAAGATATTATTTACCATATATTAACACAAATAAGGGTATTAATAAAACTAAAATTTATAATTATATACTTAAAGTGGCCATGAGTGCAAAAAATTATTATCCACTCCATCACCCTTCAAAATATAAATAAATTTATAAGTGTCCGTAAATTAATTCTAATGAAAAATCAAACTTTAAAAAGACGCTTCAACATTTTAGTGATTAGTAGAATTGGGTATCTATAGTTTTATTCAAGTCACAGTAGTCAACCACCGAATAAAGAGACCCAGAATTTTTCAACATAAAGAAAATAGATACATTAATTAATAATTAATAGGCATTTAGAAAGATTCCCCTTTATATGTTTACGTAATGTTTTTTTGTTAGTCAAAGATTATATATGGGACCAAATGATAGTGATTTCTCTATCACAAGATTTGTAAAACAATTATAAAATTGACGCAATAGTAAGATGTAAAATATTTAACAAATCAATATACTTGGAGGAAGGAGTGGATTTAATCCTAATAAATGGAGTTAGTACTAAAAAAATAACAATTGCAAAAATGAAAAAAAAATCTTAAATTGCATCATCTCAAAACTCATAGAAATATTTAAATTAGAAAAGTTAAAAAAAAACACTTGGATAAGGGAAGAATGTCCAATTAACATCACACCACTTCCAATTTAATATTTAATTTATTAATTAAAACTAAAGAATCAAGATTTTAAAGATGAAAATAACATTGAAAAAAATATTTTAACGAGTCCAAATACTCGTTACTCGGAAATACATTTTTCGACAACATCGGAAAATGCTAAGTCAAGTGAGCAGTTATCCACTACTTTAATACAAATTAAATATTGTGCTGGTTAAAGGAAAATACCATAAAAAATTTAGCTCCATTGTCACATAAAACTCTAAAAAAAACATAAAATTCATGGACTAAATATGAGTAGTAATATGAAAAATTTAGAAAGTACTATTGAAACTCAAAAATACCTTAACTTAAATATCTTTAAAAATTTAATCAATTAAAAAAATGGGTGCATTTTTATTTATGGGGAATTTCCTTTTATATTTTAACTTTAATGGATCATCTCTAAAGTTGTTCCTTTGGTTGTTTAAATTTCTTAAAACTTTATTATTAATAGATTGCTTATATAATTTTTAGAGTATCAAAATTTGATATGAGCTAAAGAAACTCTTGAAGTGAATTTTACATAAACAAAATATATATGTAAATTGTGTGATTTTGCAAGATACTACTAAAGCTACTAAATAAATTACTATACCATGAAAGGAGGTACAATGACATGTTGAAAAGTGTTATTAACAAATGTAATTAGCAAAAATGATAAAATAAGAACAAGATATTGTCTTTAAATTCTAAGAGTAAATTTTAAATAGTTTATAATATATTTTCAATATATATAATTTTTATATAAGGTTTTACAAAATATTGGAAAAATATTGGAAAAATATCTTATTGTCATCAGCTATAACCACAGTCACG